AATCGCCGACATCATCAGGGTCACGGCTGCGCCGTGACGCCTGATGATATCTCTGATTTCGCGGTAAATAACTAATAAATATAAAATATAAATTTTGTATTATATACACATACAAAATTAAAGACTTGGACTTAATATAAATTATTCATTTGCAGATTATTTCCAAATCTGACGAATAAAAGTCGAGTGACAAAAATCGGGTGATAAAATCGGGTGATAAAGTCGGGTGATGAAGTCGGGTGATGAAGTCGGGTGATAAATGTCGAATGATTGTTTTTTCATCGATGAAAAAGGTTTAAGAAAATAACGTGATAAATTACGTGATTGATTAAAATTTTCTCGAAAGAAATTTAATTTTCTTATTTATAGACATTATTTTCGACTTCGTTTGTGGTTCAGGGGAAAAAAAAAGTAAGTTATGGAAATTAATTTGCTTGAAATTATTTATTAGTACCTTTGTTCAATGTGTTACTTTTGTTTCAGAAGTAATTTAATAAAGCTGTTCCCTGCAAAAATAAAAAGTGAGTTGCAAATTGTTTATATTTATTTTTAAGATTTAAATATTCTTTCTTTATTAAGATTTAGTTCCCTTTTCCACTTTTCAATTGGGTAGAAAGAAGTTCATGCGAATTATTAGGAGCGTCTTGGAAATCAACGGTGTGGCAACCCTAACAAACAAAAAAAAACTCATGATGAAGTAAATTTGACAATCATATAATCAACCGATTCGATTCGCAACAAGATCTTGAAAATCGAAACGATTTACAAGGAACAAAAGTTAGGGCCGGAACGATTATAAGGACTTTAAAATTGGCAGGAACAATTTTTGGAAGGGCAATGACAAAATTAGGACAAGGTACAGTTTGTTCTCCCAAATCGAGAAGAAAATTTAGAAAAAGGTAAAGATTAAAATGATCTTTGTAAAAAAAAAAATAAAAAAAAAGAGACTAAAATTGTTTCGTTTGTTCCGCAAATACAGATTACTTTCTTTAATTAATATTTTTTTTAGTTAGTGGCTGTTTCTTAATTGTTTTTTCTTTAAAAATAAACCCATTTTAAAGTTAAAAATTTCTCTTGAAGACTTAAAATACAGTTGAATATCATCAGCAAGGAATAATTTTTGAATCAGAAACGAATAAATTCTTGGAAGCGACAACGGACATTTGCGAGAAGAAATCCAACATTTCAACGAATACTTTCAACTAATATTTCGTCCTTTGTCTTCAGCAAAGTGCTGTTGCTAATTACTATATTATCAATTTTTAGTTTCTTTTGGACAGAGCTGTTAAATGCGCTTTCCTCGGGCAAATTTTTTAAAAATTGCGTTTTAATTTTTTTCTCAGACCGTGGTTTCGCCTTTACGCTTATAATCTTCCTTCGGCAAATAATGTTTACAGCACTTCATTGTGAAACGTTTTATAATTGTTAAAGTTTTTTTTAATGATATTGACAATAATAAGGACACTGTAAATGAAATGAAGTCTTTTAAAAATCATTTGACTTAAGTCGTAGATTAGGTTTAGTATTGTATACGGGATTATGATATCCGACTGACATTTGATGGATAAAATGTGTAATTGGGAGAAGAGAGCATTGATAATATGGAACGGGAATCCCGTATGCAAATTTCAATGGAAAACATCTTGTGTGGATTTTATAAGTTCTTGTAAAAAAAAGATTATTTATGAACGAAAGTAAATGAATGTAACAGACCATCATACTAAATTGGTAATAACAGGACATTGAGCCGTTTTTATATTTCTAAAAGTAAATTAAAAATAATAATACAAGATTTTGGAGGATATTTAACATCTTTTATTGACAAAACTATCTTGAAAATGATACAGTGATCGAAAAGAAAGCAAAATAGCTATTCTTTGTAAATGAAAATAAGGTTGGCACCTGACCTAAGGCTTTGTGGAATCTTAAATGTAGTCTCATACAGTATATAGCTGCTTCGTATAGGCTGCTAATTCGCTTATCACAATATCCTGGTTGAATGTTACACTAGAATCTGGAAATTTTAAAGCTAATAGCACATTCTAATTTACGAGCTATAACATATGATCACAATTGTTGCATATATTTTAGTACCTTAATCTTTTTAATTGAAGATTTATTTTCAAGTAAATATTTGGCCATTACACATAAAATATTAATAATGCAAATACAAATCTTTTTATAAAATAGAAAGAAAAATTTCTAGCCGAAGAATGAACATAAAAGAAGCGGGTCCACAAAAACAAAAAAATCCCTATTGAAAATCAGCCGATTTCAAAATTTTTCACGGTTTGCATATTGTTGAGTTCGAAGAATTCGCAAAATATTTTTCAAACTTTCTTGTTTCACATTGTTAGACTTTTATCTACAGTGTTTAATATTAATATTAATATTAGGAATTCATTTACCTATGATTGAATGATCGTAAGGATCAAAAATATATGTATTCAAATAACGAATTTCTTTCATAATATGTTAACCAACAATAAAAAATTCTTCAGTTGATCAAATCAAGCTGGGTTATATGATTAATAGATATTTATAATACAAATAATTACAATTTTTCATAGCTTAAGTTTATTAGGCAAGAAATCAGTTTTGAATACATATGAACTCATGATATTGTTATAAGTAAGCTTGATATTTATTTTTATCTGCTTATACTCACTTTCAATAAATTTAATCAAGCCGCAACTTAAAAATTGCTTTAGCGTCTGTATTTATTAAGCAGTTAGGTAGGGTCAAGGTAAAACAAACAAATAAAATAAACATTACTTACGCATGAAAGTTTTAAAAAGACAGTTTAAAAATCCCACTATTAAACGTATTTTTTCATTTTTACTTTTAGACACGAAATTTACTAACAAGTAAATGTTTTGTCGATGTATAGAATGATACTAAGAAATTATGTATCCGAGCCAGCCAAAGTATATAGCTAAAACATAAGAGTTTTTTCTTACCTATAATTAGAAAATACAATAGTGTAAAGAAGTCCGGTATAGCATTATTTTTAAAAACTTTTAGAGTTTTCTCACTTTCTACCGTAAAACGACATTTATTATAGTCATTTTAACATGACCAAACTACTAAATCACTTTCCTTTTTTAAAGGAATATTATAAACAATCAAATTTAAATCAACTTCTAAATAATTGCGCACTCGTTCAACCTGTGCCGAAGACTGCTAATACTTATAGAATTAACAAGTTTTATACGTGTCAATGATGATCATAATTTCGACAGTGATTGACATTGTTATCTTGCTCTTTTTCAAAATTTTTAATAAAATTAATCGTATGTATACTAACGGTTTATGTTTTTGCATATTCTTATATACTTCTAATAAAGTCGAAATAATATTGAATACAAATATGTGATGATGTCGCAATCTTATATTTGTTTTTTATTATTCCAGAGCATTTTGCTAAAATCACCATTTATTTTGAAAATATCTTAGTTAAATATACAAAATTGTCCATTTAAATTTTGAATAAAATTATGACCAGCATTCATTTAATTGATTAATTTGATTAAAATGAGTATGCAATATCAAATGGCAGCATTAAATTATGTAAATCCAAGGTACCGACGACAAAGAACCATCACGGCGGGTCGTACCACACCCCGAAGACTTAATGCGGATGTGGATGATGGTGACCAATGAATATGAATTGCGAAATGTCTATTTGCGTATGGATATGTTTGTTTACCGTAACTTCACTGATTAACCCGTGAAGTTATCTGGTACAAATTTTGCTGTTGTAAATTACTACCACGGCATAAGTATAATAATCATATACAGTCGTAATTATTTTGAAAACTTTCATATTTACTAGGGGTAGTAAAGGATAATTATTTTTTTGACAAAAAGTAAGTTTTATTATTGCGTGGCATGATTTATAAAGCTTAATAAGCCCGTTTTAACATGATCCATTGCTAATTTTACTTTTGACCATCTACTCTAGATGTTAAAAATTATAGACGAAGTGAGAACGTGATTATGAACATCTAAGGGACCAGGAGCGACCTTATGTATTTGTGCATTAATTGCAATTTTAATAATATTATTGGCAAAATTATTATTATTATTTTAATATTTGCATAAAAAATTTTTTTTAAAATTTTTGCATTACAAGTTTTATTAATTTCTTAATAATAATTATAATAAATAAAATTCTTCATTACAAAAATAAAATGTTAATTGTACGTTTTAAATTGATGTCGTAGGTTTGATCGACGAGACGAATATCTTCGTAACGATATTTATAACTCTTATCCTTATATAACAAATATTATATTTCATAAATTCGCAAACCACATAAATACTTTGTTCAAATTGTACAATACTAGACATTCAAAACTTTTGGAAGCGAATATGACCTAAAGAGACAAATCATTTAGTTATTGCGCCCAAGTATCGAACTCAGAATTAAACAAACTAAAAAATTGCTGCGGCCTACAGCGATATAAAGTGCCTAAAAAAAAAAAAAATTAAAATTTAAAAAAAAAATAAAATTAATTCAAATGAAATGAGAAGGAAATCGTCTAAAAAAAATGAAAATGAAAAAAAAAGTCTATGGATCCAACCCAGCGCGAAAGCAAAATAATTTATGAATAATAATAAAAAAAAAAAACCTTACAAAAGTCTAATAAGGTAAATTAAAATTCTAAACTAAGTCATGTATTTTAAATTTACTCGAATAAATTAATTATGGTCATCTCGATTAATTCAAATATTAAAAATACAGTTCACGAAAAATAAAAAATATGAATTAAATTTTATTTATTGCACGACGAATAAAAGTCAAAAAATATGAAAATTTAAAATCTGCAAGGTTTTTTTTTCTATGCGTACGCAAATATGGATAGATACATCACATTTCTTAAATTATGATACTTATGTAGTCCAATTATTTTACAATTAAAACGGCTATAAAAAACAAAAACAAACTTCCAACATCCTTTAAAATCAAATACATTTTTCTTTTTTCTATAAAATTTTTTTTAAAAGTATGTATATGTTTTCGTGAATAAAGTTATATTTACTTTTACATGTAACAACTGATAAATTTTACAATTTTTTTTTTTTAGAAGAACAACCAACCAAAATAACGAAAACGACTTATATATTGAAATAGAAAGATTAACGCGCAAAATTAGAGAAAAAACGAAAAAATTAAAAAAAAAAAAATACCATACTGTTAATCATGGTTATTATATGGAGGTACGTTCAGAATTTATTTTACTAAAATTGCCAATTATTTTAAGGGCATTAGTCACATATGACCGTGTACAAATAGAAATTGTCTAATTATATCCTATTAAATTTTATTTACAGCGATTACGGATTTCTTTAAAAAAATCTTTAATAATTAAGAATCCTTTTTTTATATTATATTCTTTATTTTGTATTTTTTATTTTTTATTTGCTATTAAATAACTTTTTATCACGCTTTTACTGTCACCTTATACTTCATTCAGAATAAAAATAGATTACGGATTTCCTTAAAAAAATTCTTTAATAATTAGGAATCCTTATTTTATATTATTTTCTTTTAATTATTTTTTATTATTTATTTGCTATTAAATAACTTTCTATCGCGCTTTAACTGTCATCATATACTTCATTCAATAATTTTTTGCAATAAAAATATCGTTTAATTTTCTGAGAAAGTAAGATACGAAGACCAATTTACAAAATTTAAAAAAACTCAAATCGAATTCTAATTCTTTCTTAAAAGGATCAATTAATTAAGTCTGTGGTCTAGATCAAATACTATTATTGAAAGGAAGGATCTACCATCAAAGTACAGCAATAATATTTTTGGAGCCAGACATTGCAAAAATGAAATGAATTTATTCAAGCTAATCGTCTAAGTAAAGTTTTATGATTTCCAAGATTTTTGGCCTAGGATTTCCTTTTCACCTTTTTTTATTTTATACTAAATTTGCTTTAATTGTCAGTTTATGGGCCAAACTTTTGGATCCAATACTAGTGACAGCTTCTGGGGAGGTTTATATTGGCTGATAATTACTAAGCCAACTGAACTCCAGTTTCCCGGACTGGGTAAAGTTCAAGATTTTATTAATATTTCTTTATTATAGATCAAAGAATTAAATAAGCATTGAAAAATTACCACAAGAAAAACCTCAACAGGGACGATTATTACGTTACGTTCACAAGTAGCTGAAAAATAGGCAGTGGTGAAGTATTGTTCTATATATTATGAAGCATTTGGTTAAATTTATCTTTATAATATTTTGTAATTTATATAATAGGTGATGAAGCTGAAGTAGAAGACTGATGCATATTATTTAGTAGAACCAGTCGATGTTCTGTAAAAATTGTCCTAAGAATTTTAAATTGGATTGGTAAGAGAAATTAATTTTAATAATAGATTCTTGAAATAACATCATATAATTGGAAAGATCTCCGGAAATTAGTAAGACTCCGAGGATTGTGGATAACTATTGACAGCTTGCATTGTAAAGGTGTGAGAATATTTTGTAAAAATTAAAATCATGTAGTGAGAAAGTTTACTTATGTGTTACTTTAAAATTATAGTGTATGTTGGATTCCAATGCTTTATTAGTTACAATCGCAGCTATTGTTGGCCTTGGGTTTACGTGAAGCTTTTGCAAAATATTAACAAACGGTAATTAATCATGTTCAACATTTTTTTTGTTTATATTCAATCCTTTATTAAGCTATTATTATTTTTCTATAGTCCGTATACCCATGATTGTAAACTCTTAAAGAAAAAACAAAAGTGTGTTGGTGCTTTGACTGTGACATTGGATGAAGTTTTATTTATATCGGTCATTCTGACTTTACAATTATTAATCTAATTAATAATTTTATTATTTGAGTTACAATATTTGAGGACATATTGGCGGCCGGAACACAAGAACATATTAATTAATCAAGAGCCCATGAAATGGCTTGTCAGATAAAAAAAATATTAAAATTGCATCACAAAAGGCAGAAATCAAATCTTTACCTGAAATAATGGTGAAAGCTTCTGACGGCAATTTTGAACCTGTCCTTAATCAGCTTTTGAAGGTTTGTGAAAGTCATTGGTGAGAAGACAATGAGCGCTTTCTTGGAAGGGCTGACGATATAAAAAAAAGAAAAATCATAAAATGTTATGAAAAGACCGAAGTTAAAGATATTTCAAACATCCACAACCAGAAAAGCAGATGCACCTAAAGGGATAACCAATGTAAAAAAATGAAGCTGTGCATCGGATTTCGGAGTAGTTAATTTAATCTTTGATATATTTTTATAGTATAGTTCAACTCATTTTGCCTTTTTTTAAAGGGATATGGAAATCCGTCCCAGCTGTAAAGCCAGGAAGTCCTTAAAAAGCTTCTACCAATGCTGTTGCTCCATTTTCCAAAATGAGTGGAAAGAAGTTATAAGACACAAAGTTTACTAGCGAAATTGTTGAATCCAAGTTTGCTGAATTTGATTCCGAAAATCAGACTGCCGGTTCGTGAAAAGAATCGGTTATTTTAGTAACTTGGAACTATGCTGAATTTTTACTATTTATATTAGCAATTGAGAAGTTGGTTCCGTTTGATTTATCACGTTCTTTCTATTAAACTTGGATGTGTAATACGTGTTAAAGATTTCATCAAAAGAATTTAATATAATGGAGATACTTTGTCAAAAGGTTCCATCATTTAGAAAATCAACAGCATTATCAATACCAAATAAGATTGTTTATTTTATTATTTACAACATTTTTTTTAAAAATATAATATCTTGTTTATAAGATTGATTGTTACTTTAGTATAAAGTAGAGGTTGGAACCGATTTAGGTTAATTGATTAATTAATCGATTAAGTCGGTTAATCGATTAAAGTACCTTTATTTTATTAGTCTGGAGCGAAGGACTTTCATATACTAGCCACATGTTACACGAGGCGTCCCGTTGTCCTCCCGCTCAAAATTTGAGTCGATACGTGATTGGTCCTTTTCGTTACACTTGTGCTTTGGACTTAACAATGGTTTCCAAAACCGTTCCCTAGTATTTATTACATACATCTTTGTAATCATTATAAAGAATTTAACATGGATGATAAGTTTTCCAAGAAATTCTTTTTATTAAAAGAAACTTAAAATACATTGATATGTTCACACTTGTAAATATTTAAACTGTAATTGAAATGTTCTCTTATATTAAAATAATAAATTTTTATTTATTAAATTTAGAAAAAGTTAAAAAAAATAAAAATATGGAAAATTTGTAAAATATTTAATAAAAAAAATATTAGTTTAACATTACTTATCTTATAATCCTGTAATTAAGTATTTATATATAAATAAATATTTTGGAACATTAATTATGATTGTAAGCAAAAGATATAAAATGCATATTTTAAATGTGAAATTTATATATTAATCGGTTAATTAACCGATTAACGTTATTACAAATTAACCGATTAATTAACCGATTATTATTCGGTTACGGTAGCTTGTTAATCGATTATTAATCGGTTAAGGATTTTTTGATCGGTTCCAACCTCTAGTATAAAGAACGTGCGGGAGACGCATTAACGGCTTTTTCTGAAACAATTGGTATTTTCGCAGAGTTACTAGTTATGTAATAAATTTTTATAATACTAATATACTAATGATACCTTTAAATTACAGCAAAATGACCCAATGTGTAAAGATGGATTCATATGGAGTTTGGAATAGCAGCTCTTCAAACGCGAGATATATAGAATTTCTCAATTTCACATTAGCAAGCTATTCGCACAAATTCTGTCACTGTTTTTGGAGCCTTGTTCGTTTTATAGGAAAAGGAAATTTGCTAAAAATAATCATATATATTCCTCTATTGTAATATAACGATAATATATAATTTTTTATTTAGAAAGCTGTAAAAAGAAAGATTTACAGGTTGTCACATGGTTCGACCAATTCTAACTTGCAAACAAGATTGAATGAAGTTAGAAAAGCAGCATAATCGGATATAATAGCAAAATGTGAGTATTTGAAAGGTGCAGTAAACAGCCGTTTGACTAAACAAGCCCTAGTAGCACTGGATTGAGAAAGGATGCGACTTGGTGCACAATCAGGCAAGAATAAAGCTGATGCAAGATGAATAAAGAGCTAACGAAATTGCCACAAGTATTAATTTTTAGACCACCAGCTAATCCAATATTTAATAAACCTACTGCAACATTATCAAATCCATTAGCTACAGAAAATCCTAATGCATCGAAATACCTACAAATGGACAACTTTATTAGCAGCTCAGCTTATAAGCTTCAGTCTGGGGTGGCATTTCAAGTGATATTGGTACTTTCGTCAAGACTATAGTTTTCTCGATTTTGTTCTATTATGAATGGTGCAAACAACATCTAATAGTTCCATCGTAAGAAAGATTTGTGAAGTTCGAAAGTTGATAATTTAGGACATTTCTTATCTTATATACAGCTTCCACGATCACAGAGTTTAATTCGACTATGTAAACATCTTGTATATAATTATTTTAAAATTTGGCACTAACAGCGTCTCAAGATTCTTTTGATTACTTATTATCTGAGATAGCAAATACAGGGGGGTGAAATAAATATTGCATAATTTATTTATCGATTTTATTTTATATATAGTCACGAATATTTATAA